ATAATAATAATAATAATAATAATAATAATAATAACAATAATAATAATAATAATATTAATAATAATAATAATAATAATAATAATAATAATAATACTGAACCTGATTCTAGTGCTAGATTCCAGTCACAATCGTCCAAGATTAGAATAGCAGATCTAAACAAAAAATAAGTTGATTTCAAAAATGATGGGAAAATATACACGAAGAAACCTTTAAAAAAGTAGTCAAACAAACAAATGACAATAATGAGAATAAAACTTTAAAACATCATGTTAAAAACTAAATAAAAAGACAAAACACAGACTGAGACGAATATAATAATATGTTCTCACATGAAAGGATTGTAATTTCTCTCACGCTTAGAAATGAGAAGAAGGAGATTTAAACGTCAGATAAATATTTCCCACAACTGTCATAATACAAAGAACTCACAATTTATTCATGAAATATGTACAAAGTATTCATAAAATACAATTATACATAGTACATGCAGAGTTTTTATTAAATGCATATGTACATAGTACATACAGGGTATTCATGAAATACATATATACATAGTATATACAGAATATTTATTAAGTACATATGTACATAGTACATACAGGTATTCATGAAATAAATCTGTACATAGTACATACAGAGTATTTATTAAATAAATATATACATAGTACATACAGGGTATTCATAAAATACATTTGTACATAGTACATGCAGAGTTTTTTTAAATACATATGTACATAGTACATACAGGGTATTCATGACGACCCAAAACTCTAAAAATAAGACGATTTGAAGCTTGATTGTGGATTTTGCATTTGATTGAGTATTTTTTTGGTTTACTGAAATATTAAGCCCAGAAATAAGCCAGTTTTGGCCTACAAGGAACCCTGAGTGCAAGTACACGGACTAAACAAATTCCGTACAATCGTCTCTGAAGTCTCATCCTTTGTGGGGAGCCCTGTAGTACATAAAGAGTATTTGCAGAATACATATTTATTATGTAGTATGTACATATTATATTCAGTGTTCGTAAAGTTATGTACAATACGTTGTACAATGGACTCAGCAAACATAACAGACAAAATGTAAACACTAATAAAACAAACAGAATATATTGAAAACAAATAGATACCATATGTGTACTTCAGATTGAACAAGGCGAAAATAAACAAAATGATTGGTAAAATTCCGCCAAAATATCACGATTTTCTTTTGGAAATCATTGTAACAATGTTTTTAAGAGTTGGAAATACCTTTAAAAAAGAGAGTTTTACAATACCACAACATGGAGTTTAATAAACTATCAATATGGTTTGTACACTATAAGATATGATAAATTATGCCCCCCTCCCCCCTCAGTACTGTGAAATGCACTAGACCAACTGTGAAACTACATTTCAACACGTAAGTGATCATTACTTTTAAGTTATTGCGATCGCTTTCGTAAGAGGGAAGTTATATGTGAGGGCGGGAGGATAGGGGGGTGTCATGAGCCAGGTTCGAAGTGAAAACAGGCCATTTAAAGCCGATACCGTGGTCTTAAATGTCAAAATAAAAAGCATAAACTTTGGTTGATATTTACACCAAAAATATTGGATTTCGAGAAAGAGAAACTTGTTTAAATTTTCTCTGCTCAGTGAGATAAATTCTAAAAGATAATTTATTATTTCTCCCCCCCCCCCCCAGCAGGACACAGCATTTAATATCACAGTCTTGGCCAATTTCACCGAGATAACATTTTCTAGTTTAACCTCTTTCAAAGAAACTATTTCTTGGTTGTAACAAAATCTTAGTATAATTCTTGGTTTGTAACACAATCTTAGTATATTTCTTGGTTGTAACACAATCTTAGTATATTTCTTGGTTGTAACACAATCTTAGTATATTTCTTGGTTTGTAACACAATCTTAGTATATTTCTTGGTTGTAACAAAATCTTAGTATATTTCTTGGTTTGTAACACAATCTTAGTATATTTCTTGGTTGTATGTACATTGTACGTTCAAAATACAGTTTGTTCTTGTGTAAGTTAAAAATTTTGTTTTTTTTCATTCATTGTGACAAAATATTTCTTGTACTTACAATACAGAATATAGATAAATTAATTTTGATAAAGATTAAGATAAAGATAAAATTGATTACTTCATTCTGTACAGTGAACAATGTATTGTACATGGTGGTAAAAAAGGAAAAACTGAATAAATGTACACGAACTGTACACGCAAAATACGCAAGAACCTAATATTCTTGATATTAACCGTACATAAACAGAATATTATACGTACATGCGCCAAATGTAAACAGCACACGAAGTAAATATAACATTGAACCGAAAAGAAAAAACTATAGAAGCGAATATTAATTTTTTCAATATTAATATAAAAATTCTTAACATTTGAGACAATTCACGGGGTAAACAAAGAAAGGGAAAAGAAGATAAAACAAAAAAGCTCAAAAAAATAATAGAATTTGAATTTTCCGCTCCCCCCTATCCTCGCAGCAAATTAAAGGAAGCTTTAAAGCAGTAATACAAAACATTCATAACATTTGGTACAATTCACATAGCTAACAAAGAAAGGAAAAAGAAAGGAAAAAGAAAGGAAAAAGAAAGGAAAAAGAATAGAGATTTTGTGGCCGGTTGAGGAAAGATTTCTAATAGATTTGATGGACTGGATACTATTTCTAGCAGATTTCATGGACTTGATACTATTTCTAGTAGATTTCATTGACTTGATACTATTTCTAGCAGATTTTATGAACTTGATACTATTTCTAGCAGATTTCATGGACTTGATACTATTTCTAGCAGATTTCATGGACTTGATACTATTTCTAGCAGATTTTATGAACTTGGTACTATTTCTAGCAGATTTTATGGACTTGATACTATTTCTAGCAGATTTTATGGACTTGATACTATTTCTGGCAGATTTCATGGACTTGATACTATTTCTAGCTGATTTCATGGACTTGATACTATTTCTAGTAGATTTTATGGACTGCATACTATTTCAAGCAGATTTTATGGACTTGATACTATTTCTAGTAGATTTTATGGACTGCATACTATTTCAAGCAGATTTTATGGACTTGATAATATCTATAACAGATTTTATGAACTTAAAAATATGTGTGGCATGCTGTACAATGGTTGGCGTTTATATCATTACAATGAAGACGACTTTTAATTTTCAAGTTTTGATTTCTAACAAGCCTTTTGCTTGTAGAAAAGAAAAATTTAAACCGAAAGTAGTCTTCATTGTTTTGACATATAGGACGACTGTATTGTGGATAATTTTACTGAGTTTACAATTTCCCCCCAGATAAATTCTAGATAAACCCCTGTATACGTGTCCCTACTATTTAAATGTCTATGTATAGAATAAAATTGTTGAATGAAATCAATCCACTAAAACTTAGTTTATTGCTGGTCTAAAAATACTGGGAGATTTAATCTCCAAGTGCCACTTTATTTCAAAATAACTCTTAAATCAGATAAAACAAACAGGAAGAAACGTTTCATGCTGGGCATGGTACACGGAACAGTTGGTTCAGTACAATTTAATCTGGCTTTAGTGAACACGCCAGTACAAGTAGTACGTAGGGTACAATTTATCTGCCAATAGAGGCCGTGCTGGTACACGAAAAGGGTTGGGGTACATTTTCATCTGTCATAAGTATCGTCGAAGTACAATAAGGGAGTGTTGTCTGTTAAAGAAGTGGGTTCGCAGTGGCGTACGAGGGGGGGCCGCGCCCTCTACGCTTTGCTTGCATTTCCCTTTCTCAGGCCAGGCACAGTGGCGTACCTAGGGGGGGCAGTAGTCCTCTTACCCCCTCTGGGAGTTCCAGGCGGGGCACTGCCCCCCCCCTGGAAAATACAAAATTAAAAGGAAACTACGTTTAAAAAGTAACACCTTGACAATGACAAAGACTAAGGATTTGTCTAAATTCACTGTTAATACAAGGAGAGAAAAGTTTTAGCCTTCTAAAGAGAATACTTCATTACACAAGATGTACTATGACGGAGAGCAGACTTAACGATCTTGCACTTATAGCTTTACACCCTTTAAGGCTGTCTGAGCTCTCTACTGAAAAAATCATTGAAATGTTTGTGCAAGCAAATCCCAGAAAATTGTAGTTTATAAGAGTTGGTGAATATGAGATTGAGTAAATAAATTCTATCTAAAAATTTCAGAAGAAATTTCGTTTATTAGTAAAAATATAATTTTTAATGATGCTGTGATTATTAATTTAGTTAGCTGTGATGGAGTTAAGTGATAAATTTATAAAGTTAGTTTTTCAAGCAAAGGAATAATTTTTAGACTCTATACGGTTAGTAACCACCCAAATATGTAGTCTTTTTGGTGTATTTTTTATGGTGAACAAAACAAGTCCAGGTGGGAGAGGGGCAAATTTTTTTAAAAAGTATCAATATTTTGTCAAAAAGGTTGAAAAGATGTAGGTATTTAAAAATTAGAGTTTGTGAAAAGTGTTTCCGTTCGGTTAATTTCTTTTTTCTTTACAAAGACAACAACATTTATTTTACAAATTTAATCAGCTTGATGGCTTCACTCTGTATCTAATGGTATCCTTGTAATGTTTGATGTATTCACTCTGTATCTAATTAAATGGTATCCTTGTAATGTTTGATGTTTTCACTCTGTATCTAATGGTATCCCTGTACTGTTTGATGTATTCACTCTGTATCTAATTAAATGGTATCAATGTACTGTTTGATGTATTTACTCTGTATCTAATTAGATGGTATCCCTGTACTGTTTGATGGATTCACTCTGTATCTAATTAAATGGTATCAATGTACTGTTTGATGTATTCACTCTGTATCTAATTAAATTGTATCCCTGTACTGTTTGATGGATTCACTTTGTATCTAATTAAATGGTATCCATGTACTGTTTGATGGCTTCACTTTTTATTTAACTAAATGGCATCCCTGTACTGTTTGATGCATTCACTCTGTATCTAATTAAATGGTATCCCTGTACTGTTCACTCTGTTTCTAATTAAATGGTATCCCTGTACTGTTTGATGTATTCACTCTGTATTTAATTAATGGTATCCCTGTACTGCTTGATGGATACACTCTGTATTTAATTAATGGTATCCCTGTACTGTTTGATGGATACACTCTGTATTTAATTAATGGTATCCCTGTACTGCTTGATGGATACACTCTGTATTTAATTAATGGTATC